TTGTATCAGCTGTATGAACCCAGTGTCAATCACTGTCTTTCCAGGAACTTGTTCAGCTTACACAATATCTGTCTGGGAGACTGATTTTCAGATGTTACTATCCTTTCACCAAGGGCATAATTTTTACCCCCACAAATAAAGGTATAAAAATTAGGGGTTTTTTTTTACAGCTTTATTGAATTATAATTGACATAATAAAACAGCACATATTTAAGTTTTGACATAGCACAATCATGAAACTATCACCACAATTAAGATAATGAATGTATCCATCACCCCCCCTAACATTTCTTCCTAATGCCTCCCTCCCACTTCTCCCCATCCCCATCCCTACCCTCTAACCATTTGATCTGTTTTTTGTCACTACACCTTAGCTTGTGTTTTCTAGAATTTTATATAAATAGAATCATACAGTTTTACTACTACTTTTTTTTTTGCAAGGGGGAGGCCTGGCTTCTTTCACTCAGCATAATTACTTTGAGGTTCATACATGTTGTTGTGTAAATCACAACAGTAGATCATTCCCTTTTACTGTGGAGTAGTGTTCCATTATGTGGATATACTGCAGTTTGTTTATGCATTCATTTGTTTATGGACATTTGCATCGTTTCCCATTTTTAGCTATTACAAATAAAGCTCCTGTGAACATTCATGTACAAGTCTTTGTATAGACATATGCTTTTGTTTCTCTTGGGTAAATACACAGGAGTGGAATGGATAAATGATACAGTATCTAAATTTTTCAAAAACATTTTTATGTAATGTTTTCCACTAAGAAGAATCATTTCCACATATGGCTAAAGAATAAAAGTGCTACAGCAGTTAAGAAGTTAGTAAATTCAGCACTTTCTTCCCTTAAAATCAATAAACTAATTGTTTATATGTTGCCTAATTGGTTATAAATGGATTGTAGGCGTCTAGTGACCAGTATTAAATGATACTGTGTTAAATCACCCCAAATTATAAACCAAAGAGCAAACTATGTTTTCAAAATTGTTGTCTGTTATGTAGACATATTATATTCATCATATACAAGAACTTGGGCAAGGGACTTTGGGATTAACAGTTGTGAATTCATGTTAACCAGTGCAGAATCAGGAAGAAAATAACGTTATTTCTATTAATATTAATTTAATCTTGGCGAAATTTCTACAAATCCCTAGCAATTTCCTGTGTGACAATGGCTTAAAAAAAAAAAAATGAAATTTAAGGACCCTGTTTTGATTTTTAAAAAGATAGAGTCCCAGAGCACTGCTTACATTTTATGTAAACTTAGCCATGTGGTCATCTTTTAAGCCTTGCCCAGCCAGCTTTGTGTCTGTAAGCTAGCATAGGGAGGGTTTATGCATAGCAAGCGCCTCATTTCTCAGGTTGTGTGATTGGCATAGTATTTTTTTCTTCTGCCAACCTTTAATCAATTTCTATCATCTTTCCCTTCATGTTTACAGGAAGAAAGTTGCCATTTAAATTATTCTTAGGGAAAATTTCATATGCTATTGCAAATCAAAACCAAATAAACACCGCTTTTAACCATTCTTCTGGGAATGAGAAGGGGAAATAATGTTTATTGGCCAGCTGCCGTGGGCTGGCACTGCTGTGCATGCTTCCTATCTATTGTCTTTACTCATGGTGTCCCTCTGTCATTAGAATGAAGACTAGTTTCCTTGGCATGTCTCACGAGGCTCTTAGTAACCCAGCACTGCCTACTTGCCCAGCCTCGTCATCATTATTATCAGTGCTGCATATTGCATCCTATGCTTCTGCTAGTCTCAGGTTAAGATCTTCAAATGTGCCTTGTTATCTATCCCCTCCAAGCTTTCTTGCATGCTGGCCCTTCTACCTGACTCTGCTCTCCCTGCCCCTATGCTCCTCATAACTGATTCCTACTTACCTGGCAGGCCTTGGTTTAGGTCTCACTTCCTTGGATGTCTGCCCTGAACTCCTATTAAGACTCTAAGTCTGTCGGGTGTGGTAGCTCACGCCTGTAATCCTAGTACTCTGGGAGGCTGAGGCAGGAATATCGCTTGGGGTTAGAAGTTCGAGACCAGCCTGAGCAAGAGAAAGACCCTGTCTCTACTAAAAATAGAAAAATTAGCCAGGTGTGGTAGCTGGTGTCTCGCACCTGTAGTCCCAGCTACTTGGGAGGCTAGGGCTGGAGGATCGCTCAAGCCCAGGAATTTGAGGTTGCAGTGAGGTACAGTTACATCATGACACTCTAGCTGGGGTGACAGAGCAAGACCGTGTCTCAAAAAATAAATAAATAAAATAAAATAAAAAAAAAAGACTCTTAACTCCTATAAGAGTAGGGACTGTGTCTTCTTAGTGCTTAGTGGTATTTATTGAATGGATAAACAAGCAAACAACCTTTTCGGATGGATAATTTTATCCCCAAGTCACATAGCTGTTAAGTGGTGGATCCCAAAATTCGAAGGGAAGACTGACACCAAAACCATGTTTTTTCCACTACACTAAGCTGCTCCACAGTTGTAAGTCATTAAGCACTCAGAGGAGGACTGGCGGGCAAATTAGGTAATTGAATTGAAACAATACGTCTAATTACATAATTGATCCAATATAGAAACATAATGAAACCACTTTTCCATAAACCTAATCATGAAAATACTAGTTTTATATCTTTTGAAAATTGGGTTATTCAGATTTTAGACTTACACAAATTAAAATGAATGATTCAGTAAAGGCAGCCTGCAAATCCATTGGATTTTGTGGGATCCTGAGATAAGTTACCTTGCAAATACTTAATTCTTAGGGTCAGATTCACCTGTCTAATGGGCCCTACCACCACCACTCTTTTTAGCATGTTTTCCTAGACAGGAATCTTTGCTTCCCAAAGTACAGATTGAAACATTAGAATATTTTCTGAAAATTATAGAAAATGCTTTCTCTAAAGGGTTACAGATGCTGTTACCTTTTTTCCTTTACATTTTCCTCTATTTATCCCTTTTTGTATTATAGATCTCTTTCTCCTTTAATGGCCTTATCACTTTATCTCTTAGGGATCTAGTCCCTGTTTACCTCTCTAGCCTCATTTTTGCCCCTTATCCCTCAAAGTCCTTGCTCCGTTCCACAGAAGTGCTTGAAATCCCTGACTGAGGTTGATCCCTGTCCTGTGAAACCCTTTGCTTACTCCCATTTCTTAGCATCTGTTGTATTCATTTGAAATAGTCTATGGACTTATATGTCTCCTGTACTAGACACTATGCCTTTTTTTGGGCACTTACTGTCTCATGAGCACTCGTACATTTCAGAATCCCCAGGACCTGACATAGTTGCCAGCACATATTGTAGTTATGTATAATAGCACATTAAAAAACAAAAACAGGCCAGGTGCAATGGCTCATACCTGTAATCCTAGCACTCTGGGAGGCTGAGGCGGAAGGATTGATTGAGGCCAGGAGTTCGAGACCAGCCTAAGCACGAGCGAGACCCTGTCTCTACTAAAAATAGAAAAATTGGCCAGTAGTGGTGGTGCGCACCTGTAATCTCAGCATTTGGGGAGTCTGAGGCAGGAGGATCGCTTAAGCCCAGGAGTTTGATGTTGTAGTGATGACACCACTGCACACTAGCCCTGGAGACAGAGCACAACCCTGTCAAAAAAAGAAAAGAAAAGGAAAGAAACGTCTTGGGCCTCAGATCTCCCTCAATATGAACTAATAAGTTGGCTGTAGTACAGAGCAAGAAACAAGAATATAGTCATTTTTTTTCTCTTGCTCTGGGCCTGCAGAATTTGACTTCTGGATTAGATTAAATCTTCTGTGATTCAAGTTCCCGTTATGAGGTGCTAGCGGTTTTCCAGTCCCTTTAGTTATTTCTTTGGTTCTTTGAACCAAAGCAGGACATCCAGCCTACAGTTTCACCTGCGTTTAGAGGAAAGTGTTCTGCAGGACTAACCGCAGGATGTTTAATTTTTAAAAATTAAATGAAATTCAGTCCATAAATTATAACCCCCAAAAATCATTTAGAAGGATTTATCTCACATCAAGCCAAATGCTCCCTTTAACTGTATGCCTCATAAGCTTAGAACTCTGGAATAAATGCCTGACTTCTGTTTTCCTCGGCTTTTGCTTCCCTATATTTGGTTGAATTTTTTTTTCAGCATGCTTTTCTAATTTAGGCCTATTTTTCTGAAGTCAGAGCCAGGCTAAATACAGACATCAGTGAATTTCTCACAATTCTTCTCTGACTGAAAATTAGGAAAGAAATCTGGACACTGTACACTCTCCTATCATGTTCAGAAAGCGTACCTGTGCTCCCTGACCACCTGACTTTTCTTCTAAAACCATGAGTGCCTCCAGGCTAAGGCCCAGTTCTTACCCACTTCAGTTCCCCAGCATCTAGGTCACTCGTTGACATATAAGTTTTTATATCTCCCTAATAAGATCTTTTCCTTTTAAGTAGAGACTAATAAGTACTTGTCACAAAATTAGTGCAGCAACCTATCACATGGTTCTCCAATACAGAGATTGAGGAAGATATATAAGCATACCAATATTATTTTTTTTCTTTTTGAGACAGGGTCTTGTTCTGTTGCCTGGGCTAGAATGCAGTGGTATCATCATAGCTCACTGCAACCTCAAACTCCTGGGCTCAAGTGATCCTCCTGCCTCAGCCACCCAGAGTGCTAGGGTTACAGGTGTGAGCCACCGCTCCCAGCCTACGTCAATATTATTCGAACATAAATAAACTAGAAGAATTTAGATACTGAGTAAACTCAGAGCAGAAAAACAGTGAGTGACATTTAAATGTTCTTAAAGGGTTAAAAAAAAAACACCTTAAAATTACTATGGAGTTAGGCTATTTTATTTCTGTAGGCTTTGGTCCATAGACCCTTTCTTGAGATTCTTGAGAAACTTTACATATTAACCTACCATAAGAATTTCGAATGTTTTGCTGGTGTCAAAATTGAATGTGTGATCAATGAGCAAGAAGTGAAAGTCTGTTCTAGGCAGGATCGAGAACTTCTTTTTTTTAATTCCACACAGACACATCTTCGGCCTCTGAAGATGAGGGCTCTCTGAGACGCCAAGCTGCGCTCTCTGCTGCCTTACAACAGAGCTTACAGAATGCTGAGTCCTGGATCAACCGTTCAATTCAGGGATCGTCCACTTCTTCATCCGCATCTTCTACGCTGTCCCATGGAGAGGTCAAAGGAACCAGTGGGTCTCTAGCTGATGTATTTGCCAATACTCGAATAGGTAGGAGCTGGATCTACCCAAAAAGCCCAAATTATGTTCCATTTGGCTCCCAGTGTCCAGGAAATAGTTTATAATTTGTATTATATTTTTCAGTGTGGTCTAAAAAAATAATCATAGAGAACATAACAGTTAATGAGGCAAAGAAGGAAACACCAGCAATACATTTGTTGCAGGAACAATAGGTGTCATCTGCATTATTGGTGCATAGTATGCCCACCTGAAGCCATAGCTATTTCCATAAGCAATATTCAAGCTGCAGGATATAAGACCAGTCTTAGTGTGGGTTTATCCCAGTTGAAGAATATTCCATATATTAAAAGATGTTAAAATATGTAACGTCTTAGGTTTTCCCAGGATCATTGTCTATATTCTGTCAAACAGAAAAAAACATTAAATCTGAGCAAAATCTACACAAAGCCAGTATCAGTGAGGCCTTTTGTCTTTAGCATAAAGACTGGATTTATTGTCCTTGCTGCTGTGATATTGCTACAGCTGGAGTGTACAGGCTGCGGATGTTGGTACTCTGTGAGCTGCTACCTGCTGCTGATGCTGCTGTGTGCAGTGTAGCTTTTGCTTGGCTCTGCTTTATGTTTGTGTGTGTGTGTATGTGTGTGTGTGTTTAAGATTTGTGACATCTGCAAATAAAGATACATAGCTCAAATCTCTACTTTTGCTTAATTGGTTGGTACAAATTACACTGATGTGTATATTAACATATGTGATATTTTTCCCTTTTTTCTTGACAGTCAATGTATTTTTTTGTATCTTAATTTTCATTTCAGTGACCATTCTTTATCACTTTATATATATCCTTATTCTATTAATTGATTTCTGAAAAAGAAAAACTTAGAAAATTTTTAATTCATAGCTGTCATTTTTGAAGAAAATAACTACCTTGAGGGTCTGAATGCCCTCACTAAATGCAAAGTGCTGGCAGCTGATAACTTGTCCTGCACCGTTAGCTCTGCACTGTAATTCACTGAGACCGATGTGCATATTCACCGCCTCTTCTGTTATGGAGGGTAAGCAATAGAGCTGAGGTTGGCGAAGTTTTATTTCCACATTTGTCTAAAAGAGAACAATTTCACTTGTTAAAAATATGTCCTAATATCCAATTAACTTTATCTGGATTTTTGTTAACGAGATGATTTCATCTGATACCATATTTTTCATTGCTTGTGCTTATGCTGTGAAAAGTTATTGGTTCAGTTACTCACAGAAACCATTTTATCCAACATTACCGCTTTTTGGGTGTTTGTTCTAACAGAAGTAATTGATGTTCCTAATAGAAAAATTCAAAAATACAGGTGAAAGAAAAGTAAAATAACTATGAACCTATCTCCTATGGATAACACTTTAGTGTATGCTCTTCTCGAGTTTGTTTACATATGAATATGTAGGATTTTAGTTTTTATTTTACAAAAATGAAATTATCTTAAACATAATGTTCATAACCTGCTTTTCTTAATACTGTATCATGAACACCTTTTATATTACTGTAATTATGCTATCATTTTTATGGTTTGAAGGCATACCATTGTATGACTCTTTACCTTGGTTTATTTAACCATTCCTCTATTTTGGACATTTAAATATCCAGTTTTTTGCTATTATAAAAACTGAACATACTTGAACATAAAACCTTGTGCATTTGTCTGATTATTTCCTTAGGATGTATTCCTATAAATTGAATTGCTGGGTCAAATAAAAATGTCCATTTTAATGATTTTGTTACCACATTATCCTATAGAAAGGTATACTGCAATATACTTGTGCTAGTATATTTAAAACTTTAAAAACTATTAAAATAGTTAATTACAGAGTTTGGGGGCATAGAGACCTTACCTGCAAATTAATTTTAGAAATTATTGTTGTTACACTTTTTCCTTTTTCGTAGTTTTTAGTGGCTTTTCATTAATCTTATAAATCACATTTTTCCTTTCCTCTAATTTTCTTTTTACTTCTCTAGATGTTTTCTTCTAAGTTTTTTGTAACACATTCCTGTTGAATGGATCTCTTCCAATTTACATCATTCAGTTTCTCTGTGTTAAGAATCCCTACATGAAGTAGAGTAGATAATACTATTTAATCTCTGCTTAGAGCAAGGGAAGAAGATTGTCTGTCAAGGAGATCCAAGTTACCTGTGAGTTATTTTATAAAAATTAGAAGTGGGCTTTAACTTGTTTTTTTAACACATTGCCACACTAGAAAAAAAATGGTGTTTTATTACAAATATAGAATAAAAACTTCGAAAACAAAATCCTCCTTTCTAATTTAACGACAAATTTGCTATTTTTTATTGTTTTCTGTGTGTGAATTATATGCAATTAAATTGTTGACATTGGCCGGGCGTGGTGGTTCATGCCTGTAATCCTAGCACACTGGGAGGCTGAGGCAGGAGGATCGCCTGAGGTCAGGAGTTTGAGACCAGCCTGAGTAAGAGTGAGACCCTGTCTTTACTAAAAATAAAAAAAAAAATTAGCTGTGGTGGTGAGTGAGTACCTATAGTCCTAGCTACTTGGGAGGCTGAGGCAGGAGGATCGCTTGAGCTCAGGAATTTGAGATTGCTATGAGCTAGGCTTGATGCCACGGCACTCTAGCCCAGGCAATGGAGCGAGATTCTGTCTCAAAAAAATAAATAAATAAACTAACTAACTAAACAGTCAATATTAATTATAACATATTGACTCCCAAGGTAAAGAGATGTGTGAGTTACATATGCTTCACGAGGCCCAGGGCTCAAAACGAGTGTGAGTTAAATACAACTCACATGGCAGTTTATATGTTAATCTGGAAATGAGCAGTCTGACCCACTTCCAAGACATTATTTTGGTCTTCAATGGAAGGGGATAGATTCTAGATAAACCATGGAATCATGAAGAAATGTTTAAGAGACTAGAATAACATTAGATATGTGATTTGGTCTTGCTAAGGGTACCCAAGCCTTGAAAATAAGTTCGAAAAGCTGGTATACCCTAACTTAACTTTTCTCATTAAATCTTGCTAGTAGAATTTGAATTAAAAGGTTGTTTTATAAGAGTTAATGCCCTATTTATGTAGTTTTCTTCCTTGTTAACAAAGATTTGAAGGTTCTTAGTTTTGCTGCTAATGTAATATAATTCTAAACTTTGTTTTCTCCCCTCTTAGAGAATTTCTGTGCTCCCCCTGATGTCACTACAACTACCTCTTCCTCCTCCTCATCTTCCTCAATACGCCCAGCAAATATTGACCTGCCCCCCTCGGGGATAGTTAAAGGCATGCACAAAGGATCCAACAGGTCCAGCCTTATGGATACAGCTGATGGTAAGAAGTTCTTTTTGGTAGCTAACTAAGGATTATAAAGTAAACTGGGAAAATTCAAGTTATACACAGTAGCTCCTGACTGAATGGCCTAGTAGCTGCAGAACCATGTTGTAGTTGGCAAGTCATCCTGAATGCCCTCTTTCCACAGCTTGCGCAGTGGCGGCATTGACCCTTGTTCAAACTTAGTACTTCCAAAACCTATGTTGAACAAAAAACTGAGTATAGTAAAGAAAAGAATCTTACAAGAGAAAAGGGAGATTAGGTGAAATCTTTAAGCAATATATTAATAATAGCACCATATTTGTCCTCTATGGTCATAAAACTTGTCACGTACGTACTTGTACCTATTTGGCCCAACTGAAATAGAATGAGACTGTGTGGGCAAAGGCCAAACATCAGTAGAAATAAAAGCTCCTGAGGAAATTGAGGAACTAAAATACCCTTATAATCAATGAATTGTAACTTACCATTTCTTTTCCTTATAGGTGTTCCTGTCAATAGCAGAGTATCCACAAAAATCCAGCAACTGCTCAACACTCTGAAACGACCCAAAAGGCCTCCCTTAAAGGAATTTTTTGTGGATGACTCTGAAGAAATTGTGGAAGGTAGTTGTGGAAATACCAAAAACATATGTATTCATTAAACAACTATTTCTTAAGCAATTAGTACCTGTCAGGTACTATCGGGTTAAAGGATGAACAAGACATAGTTCTTGATTCAAAGAGTTCATATTTCTGTTTTTTTCTCTAAGAATCATTTATATTTTAGATCTCAGATGAAAGTTGAGGAAGGGAGAGGGAAGAAAGGCAAAGAGGTAACTATGTAGCTTAGAACTATCTTTGGAAATACACTCTTTGAAATTAGGAACTATCACAAATACATGATTTTACATTTTGTATTCATATTTGGCATTTTCCTAGGATGTGGATATCAAATTTGACCTCAAAAGTTTACCCACTCTTTTTTTCATATAACACAGTCCTTTTATTAAATGTGCTAATCAGTGCATATATGTCTGCTTTCTATAAGACAGTGTGGCAGGCCAGGTGCAGTGGCTCATGCCTGTAATCCCAGCACTTTGGGAAGCTGAGGTGGGGGAATTGCTTGAGGTCAGGAGTTTAAGACCAGCTTGGACAACATAATGAGGCCCCATCTCTACAAAATAAAAAAATTAGCCAGGCATAGTGGTGCGCGCCTGTAGTCATAGCTACTCCGGAGGCGTGAGGCGTGAGGATCCCTTCAGCCCAGGAGTTTGAGGTTGCAGCGAGCTACAAGGGCCACAGTGTAAGACTCTGTCTGGAAAAAAAAAAAAAAAAAAAACCAAACCAGTGTGGTAGATCATGAAAAAAGTTAAAAGATTTATGAAAATACAGTCACTTCCTTCATGTTGTTCACAGCTAAAACATACACGTGTGGAAACTTAGGTTAGCTAATAAGTATATATCAACTAATATAGGCAGTTCAAAGAAGGGAAGAAACCAGTTCTATCCGTGTGATTAAGGAAGGTGTCATAGAGTGTAATAGTAGTGATTTATTCATTATTTTTAAAAATATTTATAGATGAAATCATATGATATCTAGGATTAAATAGGGATGGATGGGAGGGGAATGGGTATGAGTATAGATAAAATGAGAATGGCCATTTCACTGAAGCTAGGTGATGAATAGATGTACCTAACAAAAGCTTTTGTCAAAAGAACAAAGTCTTGGTAGCTTTGTGGTTCATTTTTAAGTCCTGAGACTGACAGCAGGTTTTGATGTCATCAGACCTGTTAATAGAATTAGGCACATCAGTAGGCTAGATCTGGTCTTAGCCCAATTTATGCAACAGAAAGCAACCTGACATATGAGATTAAGATGAGTTTCTGTTTCTTTAGGAGTCACTAACCTCTTTGCACTGTGGACTTCTTTCTTGATGCTCTGTTGTTGAAACTGCTCATGCCAGCAATAGCCTCACCAGTGTTTCCAGCACTGTGGATTAACCAGGCACATGAAGGTCAAGGTGTAACAGGAATCTTACTTGAACAGTTTGCATTGGCACAGTAGAGCTAAAAGCTTTCTACTAATTTTAAATAGGTGACAATTACTTATTTGAATAATTGTTAACCTTTGGAAAAGGAAAATACCAGCATGTCTGTGGAAATCTAAAAGACTGTGCCCCAGAGTCTGCAGTGAGGCCTAATAGATAATGACAATAATGTGGACATCTATGGCCTGAGGACTATGCCTACCATATATATAGTCTGTCCATAAAAATAAAACAATTTAGAATCACTCATATTAATTTTTTTAGTTAATATGGTGGTTCAAAGTCTGGGAATATACAAAGTAGAAGGGCAGCTGAAACACTGCCTAAGGCAGTGAATTGGGAACTGAAACTATTTCATGAGTTTTATGTCATTAAAAAAATGAACCAAGACATTTTAAATACATTTCCCAAATCTGTCATTGTATTGAACTATAAAACACAATTTATTTCATATTTCATTTGCCCATCAAATATTTATTGGTCATTCTGTCCCTTCTCTCTGTGCCTCTTTTCCCATTCACCTGGCTAACTCCTGCTCATCCTTTAAGACTCAGCTCAGGCATTCCTTCCTCCAGGTGGATGATGTGCCCTCCCTGCACATGTGTCTGTCACGCACTGCTCACACTGTCCTATCCATAGCTCTGAGCATGTGCATGCACGTGTCCTCCAGTGCACACGAGGGCTTGAACTCTGTATACAGCACTTAGTAGGCACAATAAATGTTTGTTAAAAGAATGATATGTGCAGCATTTATTTTCTCAGTGTTTATTATTTATTACATCCTGTGCACATAATTGGCACTCAGTAAATACTTTTTGTTCCATATTTAAATTATTTATATCTTTTCTGCAGTGAAAATGCAGGATTTTTGTTTTGTTCTTTGTTATTTGAATAATACTTGTTCCTTGCAGAAAAATTAACAAGACTTTAGTTTTATATGTATGAAAGACTATGTGATATCCACCTCTGATTCCTGGAATGACCATGTTAATATTCTAACTTTTTTTTTCTAAATTCAGTTCAATTCAACTAACATTGTTAAGCAGCCTTATGTATTAGGCACTATAGGCAGTAAGAACCTTCCCTTCCCACAGGAAGCCATCAGTCTTTGCAGGGGAAGAGTTGTACAATAAAGTTTTTGTTGAGGATCCTCAGTGCTTTAATAAGAGCAGACTACCACATAGTATGGGAGCACCTACTGCAGGAATAGTCCCCTCAAGGGATGGTTGGGAATGGTTCCTAGAGACTGTGCTGTTTGAGCTAAGTCCTGAGAAGGATGCGTAAGACTTCACCAGGAGGCAAAGGGCTTGGCCATACAGGATGTGTGCAGAGATATAGAGACGTGGAACATTGTGATTTATGCCCACTATCTGTTTGAGTCTAATAATGATCCTGAGGTATAACTGTTACTATCCCCATTTTACAGATGAGAAAAGCGAGGCTCAGGTAAAGCAATTTGCCTAATGTATTACTAGTAAAAAGTGAATGTGAACTTGGGTTTTCTGACTCACCATGTAATGCTTTTTCATTAAACGTAACCTGGTGATATGGAATCTGGCTCTCTAACACTGGACACAAACTATAAAGAGTTAAAAACAAGTTTACTAAAAATTGTGAAATTGCTGAAAAGAAATTTATGCTTTGTGCTTTTCTGTATGTGTAGCAATTTGCTTTGTCAGAGTCAGGATTTATTTGTTGCAGAAAACATATTAAATGCCTGTAATCCCGGTGCTTTGGGAAGCTGAGGCGGGAGGATCACTTGAGCCCAGGAGTTCAAGGTTACAGTGAGCTCTGATCACACCACTGAACTCCAGCCTGGGTAACAGAGCAAAATCTTTCCTCAAAAAAAAAAAAAAAACTCAAAAAACATATTAAATATGATTTCACATTTAAGTGGGAAATTGAATTAAGGCCCAGTTGTATAAGTATTGTACTTGGCATCTGTACTTACTTCATGCATTGGGGGTTTTTTCTACAGTGCCTCAGCCAGACCCCAACCAGCCCAAGCCTGAGGGACGGCAGATGACCCCTGTGAAGGGAGAGCCTTTGGGAGTCATCTGTAACTGGCCTCCTGCTCTTGAGTCTGCCCTGCAGCGCTGGGGTACCACTCAAGCAAAATGCTCCTGCCTGACTGCCCTGGACGTGACAGGGAAACCAGTTTACACTCTTACATATGGTGAGTTTACACAATTCCAGGTCCTTCCTTTTCTCCTAAGAATTCTTCAGAATATCATGGTAGTGTTTTTAACTTGATATTTAACAGCTGCTGGTCATTATGTTTCAACAGATCTTTTCAGTTATTTAATAGGATTGTAAGTTCTAAGTAAAGCTATTGCCAAATATTTTCATTTACTAAAGTGGCATTTGCATGCCAGCTAATATTTAAAAGACAGCAAAAAGAAGAGACTTTGTAGATTTACTGATGTTTTAACATTAGAAGAGCATTTTAGAAAACCATTTGGTCAGCATTAATGATGTATGGTGGAAATCAGATGGTTTTTACCAAAAATTAAAACTGATTACTTTTTAGGTCTTTACTCCATCCTGCTTCTTGCTTGTAATAGGCACAAAGTTCTGTGATGAACAAAGATTTAGTACTTTTCCGTTTAATTTTGCATCTTGTCTAAAGTTTTTATTTTTCTTTTTAAAATAACTTCAAGGAAAACGTAGTCAGCCCTCAGCAATGAGATTTTGTACTAGTTTGTTCAGATTCCTTTTTCCCTTCACAAGGGGAGCATAATGTCCATAGACCTAGATACAAAATAATCTTGAGGAAAGATAAGTTTTTATTTAAAGGATTATGCGGGTTGAAATAGTTTAAATCTTGGATGTGCTTCTGAATAAATTGTGTATAAAACTAACATAGCTATTTAAAATAACATGGACTGGGCACGGTGGCTCACATCTATATAATCCCAGTGCTTTAGGAAGCTGAGGTGAGAGGATCTTGAGCCCAAGAGTTCGAAGCTGCAGTGAGCTATGATGGTACCCCTGCACTCCATCCTGGGTGACAGAGCGAGACCTTGTCTCTTAAGAAAAAAAGACTTTAAATAACATGATTTCTTTCACTTTTCTTATAATCTAAGGTAAGAATTTCTAAGAGTTGTTGAGAGGAGAGAGTAGGAAGAGGGAAAGGATTTTTTGTTTGTTTTTGCCCAAATAGTTTTAACATTTACCTTTGAAGCTGTATATTAATTTCATCCATATAACCCTTAAAGAAAGCATTCAGCTGGCCAAATCTTTGCATGTTTATTTAATATCTATAAATATAGCTACATGTTTCATCTGGATAATTTCCATTTTATTGTCTGTTTTCACTGAATTACAATGGTATGGAATGTGTAATCATTTGAGTCATACATTTGCTTTGCAGTTACCACAAGTAGCTAATAACCACCTATGTAAGTGGTTCTTCAGAACAAGCTTAGAACAGAAGTAGCCTTCTGGTTTTCAGTCCTGTGATAAAAAAAAGGAACCCAAACTTGTCCCCCTCCCCTAAGTGTGATCAACTCATATCAAATTATTTCTAAGAATATTCGAATTATTCCAGAAAAGAATTTGGAATATTGTATAAACTAGGTTGAGCATCTGGTGATGTTTTATTTTTATTTTAAGACAGGACTGGCTTTTGTAAACTAGAATGAATATAAAGCTTTTGGGGAAGGGTGCTTTTTGTGTGTTGGGGGGTGAGTGATGCTCACCTAATGCATCATTTGGAAATGGCTCTTGTCTTAGTAAATGTGCTGATAAATTGAATGATTTCTTACCAAGATAGGCCTGTATTTTTTCTATAAGACTGTTCTATTTTCTTTTTTCCAGGAAAGTTGTGGAGCAGAAGTTTAAAGTTGGCCTACACACTGCTTAATAAGCTGGGGACCAAAAATGAACCTGTGTTAAAACCTGGAGACAGGGTAATTGGTATTTTGGTTTTAGGGAGGTGGAGCTTATTGTTTTCTAATATGCACATTTTGAATTTTTAATGTACAACAGGAAAATTTATATAAGTTTTATTTTTGAAAACTAAAAGTGCTTTGGTTCCAACCCAGGTTAGCCTGATGCTAGGTGATAATTCTTGCATTCATAAATTGAAGGAAATTCACTTGTCCTTTTATGTGGTTGCCAATCAGTAAACTCTTGAGGTGCTAATAACAAGAAAGAAACCTAAGCCTTTCTAGAAATCAATATTTCAATATTTAAACAATAAAAGCAACAAAATTTACCCTGTGATATTTTTTCTTTACAGAATGCCTTATACACCTTTAAAAACAATTTTTCTGTGGTTTTATGTAGAAAGGGAAGGAAAGGCTTGGCACAGTGGCCCACACCTGTAATCCCAGCACTTTTGGAGGCTTAGGTGGGAGGATCACTTGAGGCCAGGAGTTCAAGACTACCCTGAGCAACATAGTGCAACCCCATCTCTACAAAAAATAGAAAAATTAGCTGGGTGTGGTGGCTCACACCTATAGTCCCAGCTACTTACTTGGGAGGCTGAGGTGGGAGGTTCACTTGAACCCAGGAGTTCAGGGCTTCAGGGCTGCAGTGAGGTATGATGACGCCACTGCCCTCTACCCTGGGTGACAGAGCAAGACCCAGTTTCTTTAAAAAAAAAAAAAAGAAGGAAAGGAGATTCATGTTACTTTTAAGAAAAAATAAATTGATACAATTTTATTTCTTCTTTAATTATAAATAACATTAAAAATGTATTTTTAATTTTTGAAGTGTTTTTCGTATTAATGACTTTCTAAATATGATTACTTCTTACCATTAAGCATTACTTTTCATTGGAAATTTATAGAAACTACACAACAGACTTCTTTTTAGTAGGCTCATGATTATAGAATCTCCTAAAATAAGACTTTTAAAAACACTTTTGCATTGTGGCAAAGAGCATCTAAGGATGTCTATTACTTGTAAATGCGACCCATGAGTGTTTCCTAGTCTTCATTGAACCTTAAGGTGATTTTGTGTCTACCTAGCAATGTAGACACTGTATACAGGAAGGAAACGGGTTGTTTAAATGTCTTATGGAATTAGTATTTTCTAAAATTCTAGGAAAATTTAAAGGTTCAGAATTGAACTTTTCTTGGGAGTGAGTTAAGAGAATTTGAAAACAAAAGAAGAGGAAACGAGGCTAGTGACATGATTAAGTTTTCAGATGTCATGGTGATGTGTTCTGTGTTTTTGCATTCCTTGAGTTAATAAGGGAAAGTCGTTTATCCTTGTGGTGCATTATAGGCGAGATCACATATTATAGAGATTTCACTGTTTAACTTTTGTTATTTAATTAATTTTATATCCATAATTGTTTCTGCCAATATTACTTGCACCTGTTACCAAATACCTTCCTGCTAGAACACTTGCATTGTGGAGTAAGTGAACAAGGATTAATGCAATGAATTAAAGAGTAAGAAACCTTAGGTTGGCCATAAGGTGATGATCAAGTCAATCAGTGGTTGTATGCTCTCTTAGAGATGTGAGGCTTATTCTTTAATATGCTGTTCTATCTAGAGAGGTCCATTGCATTTATTTTATTACTTTAGTCCCGCACTAAAGTAAATTGCCTTAGGTTTCCTAAGTATTAATGATTAACTTAATACTTAAGATGAATTATTTACTGCTAAATCACCAATAGAATTAAATGAAAAATTCTTATGACTTTGGTGAATTGCATTATAATTCCCAAAATATTAGTATAATCATGGGCATGATGGGATTTTTTCTTTTTAATGGGCATGATGGAGATCTTTTCTTTTTAGATTTGTGTGTCCATCTCTGTAACTTAATTTCCTTTAGAGCAAATGGCTATTAAATAGTTTGATTTACATGTTCATGTTAAATGTTATATATCTTAGAGAGTGATATTGAAAGCATAAGCATGTTTTTATTCCTTTATTATTGAATGTCATTATGAATTTTAGGTAGCCCTGGTTTACCCCAACAATGATCCAGTCATGTTTATGGTGGCTTTTTATGGATGTCTCCTGGCAGAAGTGATTCCAGTGCCTATAGAGGTACCTCTTACCAGAAAGGTAACATTGCTGAATTTAAGAGGAATGTAGCCTATGTGACATGGCAAGCATCAGGTTCTTATTGCATTAATTGACTCAGTCATGATGTTAGAAACAGTCTGACCATTTTCTAAAGTCCTCACCTTCACTCTCTGAAAACATGAAAGTTGTAGAAAAATTATTAATATTTACAAGCATCATGTAAATAACATAGGTTTTCAACTAAGAATTTTTACAGTATTGTGTATCATTTACAATAGCATGGCGGCATACTTGACTTCAAACAATTACCATTTATATAAGGAGTACCACTCTTGTTTCAGAGACTGTAGATAACCACATTTACAATAGCTGTGACCTTTTTGTAAAGCTATTTCCTTCAACTATATCATACGACCTAGGATTTCCATTAAGTGGATGGGTGATGCAGTGATTGCATGTTGTTCTCCAATTTATAGGATTTTACTTTGACAACACGTCAGCCTTACTAAAATGAAGCATATGTAACAGATTTCCATGTTCAACCAAATGATTTCTCCATGAGCTGCTTGAACTAATTTTCTCATGCAATTTATTACTGAGTGTTGATGTCAAAGATGAATCTGGTGGAAAATGTGGATTTATAAGAAAAAATTACTTTTTGGAAGGAATAAAAAACAAATTGGTAAAATCCCTGAAACTCTAGTTCATGGGATACAGTATCCTTCAATTGGTCAGGAAATCATAGGGTCGTTCATAAATTATTAAGTTGGCAGTGTTTGTGTGGTTTCATAATGATACTTTTAAGATGAAATTTTAATGGAAATACTTTAGACTGTATCTTATGTTTTTTGCTCTTGTTTTTGCTGCTGTTATAAAGCTTAAATCTACCTTCTTTAAAGTAGAATAATAAAAGAAGTATATGGATTTGGTATAACCATCCATTGACTTTCATTGTAAATCTGGACATTTGGTATCCATTTACATTATTTATTTTGTTATGAGCTGAAGTGCTTTGCCCTTGGATCTGGGGGTGGGACGAGAGGAAGACTACTTAACCATGTTAGCATTTATTTCATTTGCCTGAAACTAATCTAAAAGAGGATCATTGCTGACCCTTGAATAAAGTGGTCACATTTGGCTGGTAGGATTCATTAGCAATGTCAGGTTCATAAAATGCTTGATTTGTACTCAAGAAATAATTGTATTGTAGAAATTATTTGGAAGAATATAATGTCATTGGATTTTGACAATTGCTAGATGTCGGTGAGGCTCCCTCAATGTTATCTCACAAGTGCCAGAGCATTACTAAGTGTTAAGAGTTTGGACATGGGTATGCTCATGTTCACTCCCCTACTGTGTTCGTTATCTTTTCTCCACAGGATGCTGGAGGTCAGCAGATTGGCTTCTTGCTAGGAAGCTGTGGTATTGCCTTAGCTCTTACCAGTGAAGTTTGTCTAAAGGGACTGCCAAAAACCCAGAATGGAGAAATTGTACAGTTTAAAGGTTAGTAATATTTGTACCTGATTTTAGTTAAAAGTTGAAACTTAATGCTTTAATTAGCATTTTAATTTAATAATAGCTAAGTACTTTACATATGTTTTCTTTTTTTTTTTTTTTTTTGAGACAGAGTCTCACTCTGTTGCCTGGGCTAGAGTGCCGTGGCATCCTCCTAGCTCACAGCAACCTCAAACTCCTGGGCTCAAGCGGTCCTTCTGCCTCAGCCTCCCGAGTAGCTGGGACTACAGGCATGCGCCACCATGCCCGGCTAATTTTTTTTCTATGTATTTTTAGTTGTCCAATTAATTTCTTTCTATTTTTAGTAGAGACAGGGTCTCGCTCTTGCTCAGGCTGGTATCAAACTCCTGAGCTCAAACAATCCGCCCGCCTTGGCCTCCCAGAGAGCTAGGATTACAGGCGTGAGCCACCGCGCCCGGCCTACATATGTTTTCTTATTTAATTCTCACTCTCTTATGAAGTAGGTACCATTATTATCCCTGTTTTACAGGTGAGGAAACTGAGAAACAGAGAGGTTAAGTAACTTACCCAAAGTCACAGCTAGTAAATGGCAGAGCAGTGATTTGAACCCAAATCTGTCTGAGTCCACAGCCCACACCCTTAACGTTTATGCTGATGGTTGGAAAAAGCTACCACTCTGTACATTAAAGCTAAATGCTACATATAGAGACAGAGGATAGACCACTAACTTCAGTGGACTTCCAGTGCCAAATGGACCTCCCAATTGTTGAGGTAATGTCAAGGCCTGGAATTAGCATGTGGAACGATTGTACTTTTGAAAGAAGGTATAATTGGTGATTTATCACCAAAAACTAATGAGAAAAAAAGTACTTTATTGATTATTAAATGGTCTTAATTTGGTCTCGATATTTAAAATGACCAACTCAATGTGAATTCCTTCCCTGATAGCAATTCAATTTTTACTTTGGGTTTGATTTAGGTTGGCCCCGGCTCAAATGGGTTGTAACAGATTCCAAGTACCTTTCAAAGCCACCTAAAGACTGGCAGCCACACATCTCACCTGCGGGTACAGAACCAGCATACATCGAGGTAAGTCCTGAGACTTTCTGGCTTTCCTTTGGCTTCAGTTGCCATCTTTCAAAATATAAAACTAACTTTTTGCAGTTTTTAATGTTAGAAGATCCTCCTGCTTTGTGAAGTTACTATCTTTTGGCTTATAAAATGCCTTGTAGTGAACCTTCTGTTCTAATTATTTTGATCACAAATACACATTCAAGAGAAAGACAGCAAAGAAATTGATCCTTCACATAAGAAAGTTACAAAAGACTTCAGAGAAGTACAAAGGTTTAAGAAATGATTTACTGGCAGAGAAATTTCTCTGCTGCTTTTTAAGGGAGGTTGGGAGCAAAGGAATAGAGAAATAAGGAGGGAAAATACCTGTGCTTGAAAAGTACATATTCAACAATGAAAGATAAAGAGCAAGAAGAAACAAATGGCTAGCAGTTTTGGTATTGAAGGTTAACGCGGGAAGTGATTGATTAGCAACGGGATCTTGTTAAGGGATCAAGTCCTAGTGCAAACCAGGTACCAGACTAAGTGCTTTAAATGCATTTTCTCATTTAAGTCCTCATGACCACACTGTGAGGTTCAGATTTTTATTAAACCTTTTTTATAGATGGGGAGACTAAGGCTTAAAAAGACTTGAGTAACTGACCAAAGGTCACATGACTTGAAAATGGCAGAGGTGGAACTCAAAGTCAGGTCTGTCTGACTCTAAAAGCTATACCCTTCACCACTCTGCATCCTGCTTGAGACATACGTTCACCAATTGTTTGCTAAATTAATGAATAGGCAAATTAGCTGGGCACATTGGCTCATAACTATAATCCTAGCACTTTGGGAGACTGAGGTGGGAGGATCACTTGAGGCCAGGAGTTCGTGACCCACCTGGACAACATAGCAAGACCTCATCTCTACAAAAAACAGAAACATTAGCCAGGCATGGTGGCGTGCACATGTAGTCTCAGATACCTGGGAGGCTGAGGTGGTAGGATCACTTGAGCTCAGGAGTTTGAGGTTGCAGTGAGCTATGATGACACCACTGTACTCTAGCTCGGGCAACAGAGCAAGACTCTGTCTCTAAAAAAAAAAAAAAAAATTACAAATCAATAAATTTAAAAAAAGGTTTGGGAAAATACCACCCAAACTTGAACATTGTGGTGATAACAAGTATAGATAACTTTAACGACTTTGACTATGAAAGGGAAGAGAGTCAGTAGTAGCTGTGAGAGGTGACAGGGTAATGTTGGATACAAGGATGATTGTTTTTGAAGATGGAATAAATCTGAGTATGCTTAAAAGATAGGTAAACAAGCAATTAAAATACCAGATTTAGCAATCAACTCTCAATCCATGTCATGTCTCAGTGATGACACATTTCATCACTCCATCCGCCTTAAACTCTAGTCACTGGCTTCCTGGATTACTCTCTCTCAGTTCTTCTGCCTCATTGACCATTCCTTTTCAGTCTTCATTGGTGCTTTCTAATAGGCAGAGGGCCCTTCATTAAGTGGCTTCTTGCTTAGCTCTCTGGCCTCATTGGAACTACTATTCTCTATTTCTAAGCTCCTGCTATTTAGAACTAACTTGCAGTTCTCACTTGGGATCCCTCTATTACCAACAGGACTCTGCTAGTTAGTTTAAAGTAAAGTATCTGTGGATAACAGAGAGCTGTTAAAGAGTTATTAGCAGGAGAGTGACAAGAATGAATTTGTTACCAAACAATTCATCTGGATTGGTTGGGTTAAGAAAAGAAGTAGGGGGAGCAGCTTTTACAGTTACTCAGGTGAGCCGAAGCTCATGGGGTTGGGAATAGAGAGAAGTGGTTGGAGTCAAGCGATAGTAAGAAGCAGAATAGGCAGGGCTTGGTGACTGATGCTACAGAGGGATGAGGAAAAAAAGACTAAGGTTTCTGACTTGGGCAACTGGGTCGATGGCAGCATCATTCATTAAGATAGAAAATACAGCAGGAGGAGTTTTCCTGGGCAGGGGTTGAGGGGGTGGGTAGAGAATACAGTGTTAGATACATTGGGTTTTACAGGACTACAGGACATTCCAGAGGAACACTTAACTCTGTGAGTCTGGATCTCTCTGGAGGAGAGGCCTGGGATAGAGAGAGAAAACTGGGAGTCATCAGGAATGTGGCACCCTGATGGAATAAGGTGAAAAGAGAAGCAGAAAGAGAGTAGGACTCATAGCGAGTGCCAACATTGAAGGGTTGGGCAGAGAAAGTGGAGGAGCAACGGGAGAGAGACAGACAGACACACACAGAGAGACAGAGGGGCTATGAGGGGAGTGTCACCAAAGCTAAGGAAGGAGAAGGAGTCAAGAAAGAGAGTAGTAAAATGTTGCAGAAAATTCTGATAAGGTATGCAGAATGTCCTTCTAACAATCAAAAAGTTGAGGCTGATCTGAAGGGAGTGAGTTATCTCAATTTATTGTTCATAATCTGTTACAGATCAAACTCCTGTTCTACTCTTCCCCTCCTTCTCACTACTGCGTTAAACTAGTCTTAAAAAAAATTGTGCAGGGCAAGGTGGTGCACACCTGTAGTTCCAGCTCCTGGGGAGGCTAAGGCAGGAGTATCGCTTCAGCCCAGGATTTCAAGGCTGTAGCATGCAATTATCAGGCCTATGAATAGCCATTGCACTCCAGCATGGGCACCATAGCAAGACCCTGTCTCTTAAAAATTAAAAAAGTTGATGATCCTGGTAACAAGCAACTTGAATGGAGCATCAAGGACAAAAGTAAAATTATAGTTGAATGATTGGTAAAGCGAATAGGCCATTCATTTCTGGGTCTCCCCTTATGAGACTGGGAGCTTCTGATGCACAGGGACCACATCTAACACGCCTTAAACTCTGCAGTGCTGTGCTTGTCATGTATTTATTTGGTATTGTGCTTCTGTTAATACAGCTCAAGTCACTTGTTTGTTGTAGCTTTTTACCAGCCACTTCACACTGATGACTAAACTGTGGTCTTTTTCACACTTACTTTTCTTGAGCTTTGTCATCCTCCAGTGCCATCTTTATGTAATTAGAGTTTGGGACCCAAGTCCATAGCCTTAATTACTCATATTAAACATCTTAAACTCAGCCCATTATTATGGCTTATCTGAGTTTTGTTTTTGGATTCTAATTTTGTCATTTGAAATAACCCATTTTATTGTGTTTCTTATGTTTTTGTTTTTTGGTGTTTTTTTTCCTAGTATAAAACAAGCAAAGAAGGGAGTGTAATGGGAGTTACAGTGTCCCGGCTTGCAATGTTGTCTCACTGCCAAGCTCTGTCACAGGCCTGCAATTATTCTGAAGGTCAGACCTCATCCCATGACTGCCCTCATTGTTAGCTTCAGATACGTGTGACTGTGAGCACAATGCTCGGTGATTAGATTCCATTTAATGATGAAATTCAGAGTGAAATGTTCTAAGACACATTCTTGGCTTGCTTTTGTTTTCTTCTTTTTCACAAATATGCTGTAATTTAAAGGAACTAAAATTCTGGGCAAACTAAATATGTAAAGCATGATTTCTAGAGTACAGAAATAGAAAACCCGGATTAAAACCATGTGTTTATTAGTGGTGGAATGTCAGGTATCTCCATCTTTCTGTGTCCAGAGAGATACCAGCTATACATTTGGAGTCAAAGAAATTCAGCTAACACAAAGCACAAATTAAAACATAAAATAGTATTCTGTATTTTTGAACTTTAGATGCGTTAGTATGTATTGTGTAATGATTATTTGCCTTAGAATGTTCTTCGCAATATTGACTTTTTAAGTGTTTTATTTTCCTTTTGCAAAATGAAGCAAGTTAATATGTGTGCATTATAAAACAACATTGTTGTCTGGTAAAACATATATATAAAATATATATATATGGGAGCAATCAAAGTGCCCCCAAATAGAGATTAAATTATAATGCATTCATACAATGGGTTATACCCTGACACATTAAAACTCATGTTCTTGAATATTAAAGATATGGACAAATTGTTTCAGTATATCGTTAAGTAGAAGAAGTTAAATACAGAGCTTTGTATACCAATTTTGCTGTTAGATGTCTATCTATATGTAAATACCTTGAAATATATGTGTGTGAATGTAGATATATGTTTATGTACACATACTCACATTTTTATGAGGAAGTATAATTTTTTGTATATATTTGTGAAATTTCCAGAGTTTCTAAAATAAGCATGCATTCCTTATATAATTGGGGGAAAAGAAATGATCTCTTCGAAAAAATGCCCAAGTCATAAGAAGTTTCTGACTGATTGTCTCTGCTATTCCCACATTACCCTATATCTATGATCAGTTCTCCAACGGGACCCTCAAACAGTCAAAAGACCCAGAGAACTTATAGTCATTTCTCTAAAAGCACCAAATCAATTGTTTAGTAGAGGCAAATGACATGATTTTGCTACTTAACACTAACGATGATTTCCTTGTGTTTTTTCCTACTTTTTCTATTTTAGGGGAGACAGTAGTAAACGTTTTAGACTTTAAGAAGGATGCTGGGCTGTGGCATGGCATGTTTGCGGTAAGCTATTCAGAGTTAAGGCCTTTAGTATAAATTGCTTATGATTAAGGCCAGCATGCTATGTAACTAGAGCATCTCTCAGTGCTTGTTTGAAATTTAAGCCTCCAAAAGATGAGTAATATTTTCTAAAAGACATTTAACCTTTCGTTTTGACAAAATGTATTGAATGACTGCCATGCATAAACTGCATGCTGCAACTGACGAAGACAGTAACAAGGTAGATGGGGATGCTTTCCATCAGGTAATGCGCTGTGGGCGTTAGAGAAAGGTGGCTTCCTTCTGGCTCTGGGCTGGAAGGAAGGTTGTGTTTATGGAAGGCTGTTTTTATGGAAGAGATGACAGGTAAGCTGGACTTTGAAAAATAGGTTAGCTTTAGCTGTGTGCACATTTTGGGGGGAGTAAGGTAGAAAGAGGGGACATTTTAAGTGGGAAAGCTACCAAATCTAACATGCCATTTAGGGGAGAGAAAGAGAAAAAATATAGGATCTCTGAGTTGAAGAAGACCTCAGAGAGTAGCTAGTTCCACTTCCTTAGATATTACAGCAGCTTGGATAGAGTAGGAAATGAAGCGTGAGGGAAGAGGAGAAAGATTCTTCTTCACCCAGATCTCCCAAATTAGTAAGAGCTTTATTCCTTGAGTGGTACCTACTTTCTAGCTCTTTTCTGAAAACTTTATTATTTTCTTTTTTATCATAAGTTAAAAACCCTTGCGAGCAGTTAAGAGAACTCTCCTCCCTGTGACACAAAGTACAAGATAGGGACATGTATGAAGAGTTAGTTACAAACACCTTTTCCTGAAACTAAAAGTTTGTCATCAGAGCTACAAACTTGGGGGAGGCAGGAAATGGTATTTTACAATGGTATCTTGATTTCTTTGGGCAACTTAGGTGGTGAACTAAATGGCTGGCCAGTCTGAACACCAAGGCTCGCATACTCTGCCAGGCTGGGTCTCTTTGAGGCATCCTGAGTATGCTTGATTTGAGTGGTAGGAAAGACACCAAATCGCATGATCCCCTGCACTCCCTCAGCTTTATCTAACCAAACACTTAACAGGTGTAGGCGGGACCTCCTGTAAGAAACAGGGACACTTTGATTTCTTGCTTTGTGATACCCACCTACCCCTTTGTGGTACATGGCAAACATGAGCATGATGAAAGCGCTTAGTGGGTAGAAGTGGCAGTATCTGTTAACATTTTAAAAGCATATACAAGTCCCAGCTACTCGGGAGGCTGAGGTAAGATGAACTGTTGAGCCCAGGAGTTTGAGGCCAGCCTGGGCAACATAACAAGACCCCATCTCTTAAAAAAAAAAAAAAAATCATATACCCCATGACCCAGGAGCACTACTTTTCTATATCTACCCTAGAGAAACACTTGCACGTGAGCCCAGAGCCCAGGGAAGCGAGTACA